AGACTGTCTTTTCCCCATTTGATGGACTTTGGGCCCTTGTCGAAGATCAGGTGACCGTAGGTGGATGGATTTACATCTGGGTTCTCAGTTCTGTTCCATTGGTCAATGTATCTGTCGTTGTACCAGTACCAGGCTGTTTTGACTACTGGCATAGCATAGTTTTTAAAGAAAATGTTCTGCATCCCACTTTGGTGAGTAGTGTCTGGGGTCTTAAAAGCTTGCGAGTGACCATCTAAGATACATCTATTGGTCCAATCCCATCTGGAGCAAAGGATAATGAAGAAAACTAAAGACAATAGGAAAATATTGGTCCAAAGGACTAATGGACCACGTGAACCACAGCCTCCACCAGCCTGGGCCCAGATGAAAGAGAGAGTGCCCAGCTACCACCACCAACCGCTCTGACAAGGATCACAATAGCGGGTCCTGGACAAAGCTGGAGAAAATGCAGAACAAAATTCAAATTCACACACACACGCGGGCGCGCGCGCGCACACACACCCACACACCCACACACCCACACCCACACACACACCCACACACACCCAGACTTACTAGCTATTGCAGGGATTGCAATGTCACAAAACAGATTGTGTATAAATTTGAATGAGAAACTAATTTGCACTGTAAATTTTCACCTAAAGCAGAATAAAATAAAAAATAAAACTCCAAGAAAAAAAAAATCGCCAGGGGGCGGGAAGGAGGTCAGATATTATGAGTTCATTTGGTTAAAGTGTTCTCATATGGGCTACTTTTCATGGCAACAGGTCCACTCTTGAACAGTTAGCTGTTCTGCATTTGTATGCCACTGGATACAAGGGTATGCTGCCCAAGAGACTGGATCGTTAGTGGCCTCTTTGTCTTTACCAGAAAAACAGCTCAGAGCAAATGCTCTTCTTTTAGTTTCACATTTATAAATATCCCTTTCAATTTTGATTCTCTTACAGATAAATGAATAATATACAGCTTTCGTGGATTTAAGTATTATATTGTGGTTAAGTTCCTTAATCTC